CTATGGCAGTATTTCATTTCATGGAGGATAAGGTTAGCAGTGGCTACTCCTGGCCACGATGGCTAGCTCCTACTTCCATTGTTGGAGGCAGTGTGCCTCTGAATCCCAGTGGCTGGAAACCGCTGTCGCACTCGGGTCTTGCCTGTGGACATCTGCTTGACCACTATGAGGACACGAAGATAGACTAGATGCCTGATCCAGAAGGACTCTTCTTATCCTTAGTTGCATTGGGAGAATGGGGCGAGGGCATTGTTACAAACTCAGATATACAGTCATACCTCGGTTTACAGAAGCTTCAGGTTAAAAGGTAAAGGGACCCCTGACCATTAGGTCCAGTTGTGGCCGACTCTGGGGTTGCGGCGCTCATCTCGCTTTATTGGCCGAGGGAGCCGGCGTACAGCTTCCGGGTCATGTGGCCAGCATGACTAAGCCACTTCTGGAGAACCAGAGCAGCGCACGGAAACGCCATTTACCTTCCCACCAGAGCGGTACCTATTTATCTACTTGCACTTTGACGTGCTTTCGAACTGCTAGGTTGGCAGGAGCTTGGACCGAGCAACGGGAGCTCACCCCGTCGCGGGGATTTGAACCGCCAACCTTCTGATCGGCAAGTCCTAGGAAGTACCGGAATGGGTTGCTTCTGGGTTTCAGCAGTCACGCATGCACAGAAGTGCTAAATTGCGCTTTGCACATATGCAGAAGCACCAAATCGCAACCCGTGCATGCGCAGACATGCAGCTGCCAGTTGTAAACGCTGCGGGTTGCGAACGTGCATCCCGCACGGATCACGTTCGCAAGCCGAGTGTCCACTGTATAAGCTGGGTGCCAAATAGCTCCTTAAACCGAGGTTGCAGTTGCCAAAACAGAATGTCTAGTTGCCATTTTGGGGCAAGGCGGCCATAAAGTCTTTTTTTTTTTTTTCAAATGATGGACTAACGGTGATTGATTCTCCATTAAACATCTGGCTCGTTCCGATGACAACCTTGAGCTAGGTTAAGAACTTTGAGAACATAAAGAAGAAAAGTCACTTGATCCAGAGACAGTCCACACATATATTGGCCCATTCCAATCTCTTTTTCTTAATGGTGACATGGACCACTCATAACATAGGAATATTTCACAACTGTGAGCAGCAGTGCAGTATTGGGGGTGGGGGGTTGGTAAGTAAAAACAAGTGACAACAATTAACTATAATGTTCACCGCTCCTGCTCAGGCTGCACAGAAAAAAGCAATTTGGTTCCAGAAATTGATTCTGATTGTGCAGATAAAATATAACGGATAGAATTCTATGTAATAGTGTGTGAAAACAGTCCAGATCCAATGATCCCCAGATGGTGGAGATGTCAGGCACCATTCTGATGCCCAGGCATCTTCGCTTGGTCGTAAATGGTCAAAGACTAGGTGCAAAAGACTTCAGATTAAAACTGCAGAGTGGAAGGACCAGGAGGACTCTCTGACCAGCTACTGTCTGAAGACTGAAGAAGAGACCCACTTAAGAAATGTCTAGGCGGTCCTTTTTTATAACAAGAATACAAAGCTGAAAATGAATGAACTGCAGCTAAAATATCATGTTCATTTTTCATGTGCTCTAGTCCTTCCCCTGCCCACCCCCCTAATATTCTTAAGAGGGTCTCTTCTCCAGTCTTCAGAGAGTAGCTGGAAGTGGGCAGGCAGAAAAAGGTCCTTCTTTCCTTCCACTCTGCAGTTTCAATCTCAAATCTTAGTGTTGCGCCCAGAGCTCAGAAACCGCTCGCGCTAATGGAATTCCCTGTCGCAAAATGCACCGAGAACAATGGGAGTTTCGAACACTGGTCACAGGCTTGAAGGGGTGAAGTAATCAATGGTACTGTATTGAATTGCACACAAAGTGGAAGTCAGTGGCATCAATGAGATGTTACACTGCTCCTACAACTGCTGCACCCATGAGGGAGTGTCTAAAGATGTTCTGTCTCCCTCCATTCCTTTGTGATCAACGGAAGTGCCTTTCCCCAGTTTTAGCTGACCTTGCTGTTACTTCTGGTTCAATTCTATCCCCACAACTCATCAGGTCACATCCACACAATGCCTTTAAAACAAATGACTTCCCCCAAAGAATACTGGGAAGTGTAGTTTAACCCCTCACAGAGCCACAGTTCCCGTAACAAATTACCATTCCCAGAATTATTTGCAGGAAGCTGCGTGCTTTAAATGTACTTCATATATATATATATGCAAACCCGCCAACATTTCTCCAATGGAAACGGGTGTCCAGTGCTTTTTTTTCTAGAAAAGAGGTGCCAGAACTTGCCACAAACACCTCTCTCATTCTCTTAGAATAGCAGTGACGCCTACCTGAGAGGTTCCAGAATTGAGTTCCAGCAAGTTCTGGCTGGAAAAAAGGCTCTGAGGACGTCCTATTCCATACCCTCCAACATTTTTCCAATGAAAACGGACATCCTAAGGGAAAGTGGGACATTCTAGGGTGGCTTCTGTAAATCCGGGACTGTCCCTGGAAAATAGGGACACTTGGAGGGTCTGAATATGGTGTAGAGGTGAAACTCAATTCTCCACCTTGCATATAAGAATGTAGGCCCCATGCGCAGCAGCCATGTTGCTTAAGTGTTCTGTACAGCACCTAGCGCATCCTGGTGAAATTAATGCTGAGTCAAAAAGAGTGTGGAAACAGCCTCCCTGGCACTAAGTTAAGCAGACTTGCATAATTCATAACTCAGCACAATTTTTTTGGGGGAAAAACTTTTACTTACTTTCAACCCACCGCCACCACCATCCTTTCTTCATCTCATTTGCCCTCCTAGACTGTAAGAAGGGCCCATTTATTCCTTGCACAATCCATGTGAAGTGTTGTGAACGTTCAAAGACAACCATGCGAATGCTGAGCATTGTGCCAATTTTACAGATTGGGAAAAGCAAGGCAGAGAAGTTGATTGCCCAAGGTCGCCTGACAGCTTTTGTTGTGAACTGAGCTACGATTTGGCAACGCAGATCCGTGACCACTAGGCCTTATTGTGTGGGGAATGGGAACGAAACAGCACAGGGCATAGTCTGCACGGGCTGTTGTTTCCTTCAGCTAACGGTTGTGTGTGGGGGGGGACATGGGGCAGGGGTCATTTTGGCACCGAAGTCAGACTGAATTGGTCCTAGCTGAGACAGGATCGAGGGTGTTGCTGTAGGGAACTGGTTGCCCCATATGGGAAAGAAAATAAATGTTAGGGTGGGGCAGGATTGCTTTTCTGGCAACTCCAGTTCCCCAACCGGCTGAGCCTCATGCCTGCCCCGTGATTATACTTGATCTCCCCATCCGCCCACAGAGTTAAATCTCAAGCTCTTCCTCCCCCCCCCCCCGGCCAACCCAGCGCTGCTCCCCAGAACCAATGCTTTTGCTCGGGAGGTGGCGACAAGAACGTCACACTTGCTATAGTAACATCTCCGCTCTCCCATTATCTCCATTCATAATAAGTTAGCCGGTGTGTCATCTCAATGGCTGTTTCCCGGACTCCTGGCTCCCAACCTCTCCTTCCTGTCCCCTCCCCACAAGGGCAGTGCAGATCTTCTATGCTAGAGATCATAGTCGTCCCGAGTTCGTATGCATATATATCTCCTCCCATATAGCTGAGTGCTTGAAACTCTGGTGGGTCCAGATTCACGGTTCCAGCCCTCAGCTTTTAGCTTAGCCTGTTCTTCCCAGAGCCAGACACCACACCACTTCTGGAATTCATGGAGCCTTGGGACATGGGAAGCTGCTGTATATATAGGTCAGACGATTTCTCTATCTAATATTGAGTATTGTCTTCTCAGAATGACAGGTGCTGTCCAGGTTCTCAGGTGTTGCCATCACCTACCTAAGGAGATGTTGGGGACTGAACTTGGGGTCTTCAACATGCACAGTGTGTGCTTTAGCTGTGATGTCAGCTGTGCGACTTTTTGGGATGAAATACTCTGGTTTCCCTATCCCCCTGCTTTGAGTCAGACACACATTTCTTTACTTTTCACCTATAGAACTCCAGAGTTCAGGGGTAGTATTTGAGTATTTGCAGGGTTTTGTTGTTGATGTTAATTTGGCGGATCTTATGATTTATGTGGAAATTGGTTGTGTACTTTTTGATGTTTTGCTTATTGTTTAGGACTAATGATAGATATATAATTGCCAAATGGAACCTTAAACCTAAGCGGCAGACACCACAATGGAATGTCTGTGTAGCATTCCCCCACCCCAGTGGGATTGATTTATCGTCATTATTATTTATTTATTCCATTTCCATACTGCTTTATAGTTTAATAAAACAAATCTCAAAGTGGTTTAAAGGTAAAGGGACCCCTGACCATTAGGTCCAGTCGTGACTGATTCTGGGGTTGCGGCGCTCATCTTGCTTTATTGGCTGAGGGAGCCGGCGTACAGCTTCTGGGTCACGTGGCCAGCATGACTAAGCCACTTCTGGCAAACCGAGCAGCGCATGGAAATGCCATTTACCTTCCCGCTGGAGCGGTACCTATTTATCTGCTTGCACTTTGACGTGCTTTCGAACTGCTAGGTTGGCAGGAGCTGGGACTGAGCAACGGGAGCTCACCCCGTCGTGGGGATTCGAACCTCCGACCTTCTGATCGGCAAGCCCTAGGCTCTGTGGTTTAACCCACAGCGCCATCCACGTCCCTAGCGCCACCTGCGTCCCTGTAAAGTGTAAAGTGTGGTTTACAGCACATTAAAACATCAAACAAGACACTCTAAAATAAAAACTAGTTCAAGCTCCTAGGAAAATATTTCAGATCCTTCTCTAAGAGACATTTTGCTCCACGTGGTCAAAATGGGAACACAAAACATTCCCAGCAACTGGCAGATTCCAAACACTGTTTATGACTACCTTTGCTATGTTTGTAGTTCTGTAATTTTGTGTGTGTGTGTTGTAAGACTCCTTACGTGGTTTTGACTTTGGAAAGGCGGCATACAAATAAAATGATTTTTTAAAAAAGGACTTTCCTCCTCTCTTTCTCTTTCTCTCTCCAGGATCTGGGGCTAAACTTCCCTGAAAGCCGCCAGTCTTTCCCCGAGGAGCCCCCCCGGGGGCAGCCCTCCCCACCCCACTTGGCATGATGATGTGCGAGGTGATGCCAACCATCAATGAGGACAACCGCCGCGGCTCGGCCTATGGGGCCGACGACGCCAACTTTGAGCAGCTCATGGTCAACATGCTGAATGAGCGCGAGCGGCTGCTGGAGACCCTGCGCGACACACAAGAAAGCCTGTCCACCTCCCAGCTGCGACTGCGCGAACTGGGTCACGAGAAGGAGTCCCTGCAGCGCCAGCTCAACATTGCCCTCCCGCAGGTCAGGAATGGGGTTGGGGGGTGTTTGCGTGTGTGAAGGACAGCGGGGGAAGACTGCAGGGCTTGCTGGGAGATCTGGGAAGAGGAGTCACTGGCTGGAAGTTCAAAGTGTTGTTGGCTGTGGCCACGCTCACACCATCCATTTAAAGTGCTATGATACCACTTTGAACAGTCGTGGCTACCCCCAAGGAATTATGGGAGCTGTAGTCCGCTAAGAGTGCTGAGCAGTGTTAGAAACTCAGATATATACCATATTTTTGCTCTATAAGATGCACCAGACTACAAGATGCACTTAGTTTTTGGAGGAGGAAAACAAGAAAAAAATATTCTGAATCTCAGAAACCAGAACAGCAAGAGGGATCGCTGCGCAGTGGAAGCAGTGATCCCTCTTTCTGTTCTGGCTTCTGGGATAGCTGTGCAGCCTGCATTCACTCCATAAGACGCATGCACATTTCCACTTACTTTTTAGGAGGGAAAAAGTGAGTCTTATAGAGCAAAAAATATGGTAATCTAATCTCCAAATGGCACAGTAAACCTAAACTGTGGTCACTACAATGGAATGTCTAGGTGCTGTCCCCCCCCCCATGGTATGTATGTATGTATGTATGTATGTAAGTGTATGTTATTTCCATACCGCTTTATATTTTAAATAACAAATCTCAAAGCGGTTTACAACACATTCAAGCTAAAGGTAAAGGGACCCCTGACCATTAGGTCCAGTCGTGACCGACTCTGGGGTTGCGGCGCTCATCTTGCTTTATTGGCCAAGGAAGCCGGCGTACAGCTTCCGGGTCATGTGGCCAGCACGACTAAGCAGCCTCTGGCGAACCAGAGCAGCGCACGGAAACGCCGTTTATCTTGCCGCCGGAGGGGTACCTATTTATCTACTTGCACTTTTGACGTGCTTTTGAACTGCTAGGTTGGCAGGAACTGGGACTGAGCAACGGGAGCTCACCCCGTCGCGGGGATTCGAACTGCTGACCTTCTGGTCGGCAAGTCCTAGGCTCTGTGGTTTAACCCACAGTGCCACCAGTGTCCCTTACAACACATTAGAACGACAACAAAAACAAATCCAGGAGAAAACTACTGTACTTTTCCAATAATAATAATAATAATAATAATAATAATTTTATTTATACCCCGCCCTCCCTGGCCAAAGCTGGGCTCAGGTCGGCTAACACCAGTAAAATTACAGTGAAAAAATAATAGGGAAAAAAACCCTATTTAAAATACAGGTTAAAATGCAATTTAAAATGCAGCCTCATTTTAAAAGTAGCCCATAGATCAAAACCATAAGGGGAGGAAAGACATAAGGGTTAGACTGAGTCCAAACCAAAGGCCAGGCAGAACAGCTCTTGTCTTGCAGGCCCTGCGGAAAGATGTCAAGTCCCACAGGGCCCTAGTCTCTTGTGACAGAGCGTTCCATCAAGTCGGGGCCAGTACTGAAAAGGCCCTGGCCCTCGTTGAGACCAATCTAACCACCTTGTGACTTGGGACCTCCAAAGTGTTGTCATTTTGGACCTTAAAGTCTTCTGCAGGACATACCAGGAGAGGCTGTCCCGTAGGTACGTGGGTCCTAGGCTGCATAGGGCTTTAAAGGTCAAAACCAGCACCTTAAACCTGACCCTGTACTCCACCGGGAGACACCCCCAAATCCGCCTCCCGTCTGTCCCCTCGCCGGCAGAAGCTGCCAATTGCCCATAGCAACCAATCAAACGTCTGCCCTATGCACTACCCATGCATAAGGCGACCCCCACTTAATTAAAGCAATAATGAAAATATTTCAGATCCTTCTCTGAGCGACATTTTGCTTTCCCCAGTCGCATGATTGAAATGGGACCTGCGCCAATCGTCAAACGGGCCCGGCTAATTTCGAACGCTGGTGCTGAAGAGTTGTTAGGAGGCCCCAGTTCCCCTTCCAGAGCTAAAGTTCTCAGAGTTGCCTGTGAAAAGAAATTGATTGTTAAGTTACTCTGGGAATTGTAGTTTGGGGAGGTGGGGAATATGGGTCTCCTAACAGCCCTCAGCACCCTTTACAAACTACAGCTCCCATAATTCCTTGGGGGAAGCCATGACAGTTCAAAGTGGCATTGTGGTGATTTAAAGGGACGGTGCGAATGTGGCTTGCAAAGGTCTGGCATGCAGATGGGTTGTGCTGAGGGCATGGCTTCCAAAGGAGAACCCCTGGTGTTCTGGTGTAACTTTAGCAAGAGGAGGCCGTGTCCACTGAATAAAGGTAAAGGGACCCCTGACCATTAGATCCAGTCATGGCCGACTAGGGTTGCGGTGCTCATCTCACTTTACTGGCCCAGGGAGCCGGCGTACAGCTTCCGGGTCATGTGGCCAGCATGACTAAGCCGCTTCTGGCGAACCAGAACAGCGCACAGAAACGCCGTTTACCTTCCCGCTGGAGTGGTACCTATTTATCTACTTGCACTTTGACATGCTTTCGAACTGCTAGGTTGGCAGGAGCAGGGACCGAGCAACGGGAGCTCACCCCGTCGCGGGGATTCTAACCACCGACCGTCTGATCGGCAAGTCCTAGGCTCTGTGGTTTAACCCACAGCGCCACTAGTGTGCACCTATGTTTCATTTGCAAATGGGGTGGTTAGAAGGGTTCTTAGTTCTTCTGTGGTGACCCCAGAAGCTCCTGTTTTTCTTCTTTTCGGTTCCGTATAACTTGGTTTGCTTTAGAACTGGACAAACCACAAGTGTACAAAATGGGAGATGACGCTATATCAGAAGCAGAGGACTGGCAGACCCTCCCAAGTCTCCCTATTTTCCAAGGACAGTCCCAGATTTACAGAAGCCGTCCCAGTTTCTGATTTGATCCTGGAATCTCCCGCTTTTCCTTAGGATGGGAATCGGAGGGTGAAGCTCGTGGATTTCATTAAGTGTCCTCCATTAGTTGAGCACTAGTGCAGATTTCTCAGTCCATAGCAATTGCAAGCAGCTGACGCCACGTGGGCAAGCCAGAAAGCAGGCCAAGCCAGGAAATCAGCAGCCACTTATAGGTGTGACTGCATATATGCATGGTGCCAGGAAAATAGATAAATAAATAGAATCACACCAGGAAATGGCAGGAGAGAGCTGGAGAGTCCTCTTGACTCGTGAGGAGACGCTCCCTGGAGGCAAAAGAGGGTGTCATTGATGGTGGAGGAAGCCCTAAGAGACCTGTTTAGGCTTCTCAGTGTGCTGGTCCTGGGGGGGAGGTTACCGTTGACGTAGTCAAAGTCCGGTCCTGGGTCAATAGCCTGGAAACAGTTCGCAAGGAGCGGGGCGAGGTCCGAAACAGGAAGCCGAGCAGGGACAGGAACACTGGAGGGTCAGGTCTGGGTCCGGACAGGAGCAGGTACTCAGCGACGACATTGCTCCCGCAACCTGGGACCGGACTGACTGGCCTTTATCTTCTCTGAGGCCAGGGGCGGCCCCGGCCCCCAGGAGACCCGCCTCTCCTGGCCTTAAGGCGAGCACTCCTCCTGGGAGAAACCAGTTCCCTTCACCTCTCTGCCCTGAGCCTCTGCAGTTCAGGAGAGGCTGAAGGGTTACTGGGCCCCGGGGGAGACTCACCTGTAGGCACTGAGTCCTCAACCACCTCTGGAGCCAGAATGGATTCACCTGGTGCCTGCTCCTGAGGATCCGGCACAGGTGCAGGCGCCTCAGAATCAAGGCCCTGCCCCAGTTCAGCCGGCCCTGGAGGCGGGGACTCCTGTGCAGGCTGGGATTCCTCCGGTTCACTCTCTGAATCGGATTCCCAGACCATCACACTCAGCCTCCCCGCCTAACAGCTGATGTGCGGGGTAGCGCAGCAGCAATAGCAGTTGCGTTCCTGCGTGGCCTCCACCCAGCCTCAGAGCTTCAACTCTAGATATTATGGTCTGGATTGGAGAGAGTGTGGGGAGAGAACAGGAGGAAATTGGCATTTGGAGGCTTTTTAGAGGATGTTCCCCACTTTATGTAATTTCGCTTATATGTGTGGGGGCCCGGAATGTTACCCTCACCTACGTGGGGGGACGCCTGTCCAGTGGTACCTCGGGTTACATACGCTTCAGGTTACGTACGCTTCAGGTTACAGACTCCTTGGGTTAAGAACTTTGCTTCAGGGTTAAGAACTTGGGTTAAGAACTTTGCTTCAGGATGAGAACAGAAATCGTGCTCCGGCGGTGTGGCAGCAGCAGGAGGCCCCGTTAGCTAAAGTGGTGCTTCAGGTTAAGAACAGTTTCAGGTTAAGAACAGACCTCCAGAATGAATTAAGTACTTACCCCGAGGTACCACTGTACTCTGCATCCCAGAAAGGGATGGTATAGTTTAAGTGTGGGGAACCTTTGACCTTCCAGATCTTGCTGAACTACAACTTCCATCATCCCTGGCCATTGGCCATGCTTTTTGGGTCTGATCTTGAGGTCTATAGGTTCCCCACACCAGGCATAGTTGTAGTATTGGAAAGGGGATGTTCTGGACGTGAGAGAGTCTGGGACATTTTTCATGGTTCGGACAGATTGAGTCCTGCCTCAGGTTATATAGATTCATTCTGAGGAGCAATGAAGGATCCAGCCTTGTTCATTCTACATCATTAAAGGTAAAGGTAAAGGTGCCCCTGCCCGTACGGGCCAGTCTTGACAGGCTCTGGGGTTGTGCGCCCATCTCACTTAAGAGGCCTGGGGCCAGCGCTGTCCGGCGACACTTCCGGGTCACGTGGCCAGCGTGACAAGCTGCATCTGGTGAGCCAGCGCAGCACACGGAACGCCATTTACCTTCCCGCTGGTAAGCGGTCCCTATTTATCTACCGGGGGTGCTTTCGAACTGCTAGGTTGGCAGGCGCTGGGACCGAGCAATGGGAGCGCACCCCGCCGCGGGGATTCGAACATCATTACCGTGATGCTAAAGTGCAGATGGGGCTATATTCATTTATTTAAGGAACTTTTATCCCACTCTTCAGCCAAAAAAATTAAAAAAGGCTCCGAGAGCGGCTTACAGATCACCAAGAAGAAAAATACAGTC